TATGTTTAGATTATCTACAAGTTCTTTTGATATCAACATCTTTACTCAAAGCAAGCATGATTATGAGCTGACGCTAAAAAATTGTGGTTAAAACCAAGCTCGTGTATAAAACCACAGATAAAACATTTGATGTACATAATAGGGGAAAAAATAGGGCAAGGAAAATTCTATGGTTCATGCCACCATATAATACGGACATCCAAACAGAATTTGAATGAGAAGTTTCCAGGTTGCATCATCTCTAGAAACAGTGATGTCAATTGGCCATCACAATTGTGCAACTTGGTGCCTTGAGATTTCTTCCTTTAGGGTCATCTCAAAAGTAAGGTCTATGCCAACAACAATTCAAGAGCTGAAGGATGAGATAATAAGCCATATTGGTGAGATCAAGGAGCAACTATGCAGAGATGTCATCAAAAATTTTGACCATTGAGTGGAGATGTGCCGCCAAACCTTGACGGACATTTGGGTAATATTATTTTTCACACATAATTGCCATGACTTAAATAACATGGTCCAATAGAGAAATAAATAAATTTTCACCAATAACACCAATTTATTTACTGCTGACTTTGATCTGTCTTAATGAAACACCCTTTTTATATATATATATATATATATATCCTAATGTACAGCCAGTTAGATCAGGGCTACAGGAATGTAGGCCACCCATGGCTAAGATACAAAGACAAGCTGAAAAGCAACTTGTCAGCATGCAATATACGACATAACACCTTCGGGCGCTTAGCCTTGGAGCGGGTAGAATGGAGATCAACGTGTTTTAGTGGACTCAGCAATTTTCAATCTGCTTATCTGAATCATCTTCAAGAAGCGAGAGCAAGATCTAAAAGGTCAGCCAATCTAACAGTGAGCTAATCTCACAATTCTCACACTTGCTCCATATGTGGCCTCCTTTGTAAATCACTAGCGGGTCTTAAATGCCACTTAAGATCATCGCACAAAATTTCATAACTGAATCAATAAGTTGTCAGATCCTCATATGTCGAAACCGACGGGAGAGTCCATTATATATATATATATATATATATATATATATATATATATATATATATATATATATATTTTTGTGTCACACTTCTAGTTATTAGGCAGTGCAAAATTAATAATAATCATGACTGTAGAATTTCTCTTAACTTTTTATCAAAAATATTACCATTGATTTTAAATTAAATTTTTCTGGCAGTCTTTATAGGACTTTGCCCACAGTGTAGATATTAGCTATATTTATTTTGTTGAGAAAAAATTATATTTATATTTTTAGGCAGTGGTATCTAAGATTCACTGATTAATCTTGGCTTTGGAAGAAGACTTTGTCAGGTGAAAAATATTATGTATCACTTAGGGAAGCTTAATAAAATTTTGTCAATGTCTGTAATACATTATTACAGATATATACGAACAGACAAAATAAGATCAAAGAAACAAATGAAAACTGATACTTACATGAATTGTATAATGACCAAAATCTTCCCACGGAGTTTCAGCTTCTAACTCATCTAAGTAACTATAAATGAAGAAAAATTGAATAGACAACAGCCAAATCAATGAAATTACCCCTGTCCTATAATAGTTAGTACATTTGCATATACATTTCATACACTCAATGTAACACCTGTTATGGAATAGGTAATGTTTTTTACCTCTGGCCCATAATAATTAGTAGATTTGCATACCCATTTCATGCACTCAATGTAATAACTGCTAGAGAACAGGTAATGTTTTTTTATTACCTTTGTCCCATAATAATTGGTACATTTGCATATCCATTTCATGCTCTCAGTGTAGCCACTATTATAGGACAGATGTAGAAATAAAATGATTAAAAAATAAATAAATCGAGGGAGTGTTGAAAAGTTCTTGGCCTGGGCAATTTCCTAAATTTTTTAATTTTTAGAAGGGCTTCTTTGGTCAGGCTGAGAAATTTTCACCATGTCTTCATAAAATATTTTTATTGGAAATAAGGAAATACTTGTCTTTTCTTGTGAATATTTGCCTGTCTTATGGAAATGAATCAAAAATAAGCTTTCAGGAGGACCTCACTCAGGAGGGAAAACTATGAAAGTATTTCTATAAACCTTTTGCTTTTTAATTTTTACATGAATTTCTATCATTACTTCTGCTGCTATTATTATTATTTTATTTCCATTGATTTCTGGTGTATACTCATTTTTTTCCAGGTCCCAACAAGAGACCTCAGGTCAGAAATGGCATCATGACATTTTCCACTGAGAATTTTTTGAGAAAAGAAAAAGAACCCCTTAGATCACACATATTTTACATAGATAAAGCCCTTCTTAAGGTGTGGTCTGTACTTGTGAGTTCAATGAATCTATTGGAATATTTTCCAATCAATCCAAGGGCTCCAACTACAACTGGAGTTGTTGATGTTCTCATGTGCCAAATTATTATTATTATTGATAATAATCATTGTCTGCAATGAAAATTTTGTTTTACTTTTTCATTAATTACCACAAATATTCATAAGTGTTTGCATTAACTTTTTCAAATTATTGGTGTGCATTTTTATATTAATCATTGTTGCTGTTGTTGTTATTACTATTAGTAGTAGTAGTAGTAGTAGTAGTAATAATCATTACTGCTTTTGTTATTATTATTATTATTAATAGTAGTAATAATCATTATTAATCATTACTGCTTTTGTTATTATTATTATTATTACTAATAATAATCATTATTAATCATTATAGTACCTGCTATTATTAGTAAAGGATGTTCCAATAACGTGGACCAATTTTAATGTAAATTAAGTTTAAGCATCTCATGATTTTTTTCTTTTTCTTTCAGATTTAGCGAACATTTGGGCAATATTATTTTTCACACATAATTGCCATGTCTTAAATAATATGATTCAATAGAGAAACAAATAAATTTTCTCCAATAACACTGATTTATTTACTGCTGACTTTGATCCATCTTAATGAAACAACCTTTAGTAATTAGTAGAAATAATCTTCAACAAGCATTACGGCTCCTGTTATTGTTATGAGTAGTAATAATAATCATTACTGTTGCTGTTATTATGATTGGTTATAGTTATCATAATTATTATTAATCATTACTGCTGCTATTATTATTATTAGTAATAATAATTATTAATTATTACAACAGCTGTTATTATTAATAGTAGAATTAATAATAATTAATAAGCATTACTGCTGTTATTATTAGTAGGATGATGCAATGGTTACCAAGCTTGTCTTGCTAGATCAATTATGAGTGAGTAGTAATCTTGATCCTCATTGGGTGCTTTGGCTTAGTAAATCATTTTAACCAACTAACATGTTGCTAATCACATGATTAAGTACATGTCATGAATCATTTGCAAAAAGGAAAGTGTCATGTGATTCATGTGGCAGGGTAAGATTCATGTGGGCAATGTGGCAGGGAAAAGGTTAGGGGTTATGTGTACAATACAACATGGAAATGGGGATATGAACGATGGAAAAAGAAAAGGGTCATGAGGATAATGTGACTGGGAAGAATGAAAAGGCATCTGATGCATACTGGAACAAGAGTTATCACATAATAGATTTTTCAGTGAATTTACCGCTGCTTCGCCTCTGGCAGTGGCTCCAACTCAAACATGTCCCTCTGCTTTGGCTGACGAGGTACACACACTGACACTGATGGCATCTCTTCCTTCTTCTTGCTTTTCTCCTTTTTCTGAACAGCTTCTTTCAAGAGTTGCTGCTTTAGAAGGTTTTTGAGAATCTTGTCTGAAATGCGATCGGATTCCTCAGCAGCTATTTCTTTCTGCTCTCGGCGATGTGCCTGGATGGGGGCAGCAGAGAATACAACAAAATGATAGCTACAAAGCAGCACTAGAAAATTCCTCTTTTTGTGACATTTAAGAAAATTATACAAAGAATGGATAAGTTGGACGATGATGATAATTTTTATAATCTCTTACATTGGAATAAATAGACAAAGATATTTAATCAATAAAACATCCAGTCCACTTATTAGTTACAATTTGAATAACTATTAGCTAATGAAAAGAAGTTTGCCCTCTTTTGTGTTATGTTATAAAATGTAGTGTGGGGGAGAACAAGTTGCAAAATTGGTGTGACCTTCAAAAATAAACAGGCCTATTAATACAAAAGGATTTTAAGAAAACATTATAGACATCATTAAAATAAATAATTTATTCAATATGGTTTCTATTATTCTCAATTACAACCTCAACATGATCTCAAAAAGCTGTGCAACTCTTAACCACAAATTCCTTGGACATCTTGACCTACTCTTCCTTGATGACACATGCAAATATGTTTGGGAAAAGTATGGTCTCATCTCACCTCCAGCTATGGATTAAATAGAAAATGTATCTCAAAAAATAATAATTCAATATACAGTCACAAAAAAAAATAATTATTCTTAGAATTCAAAATATGTTTCAGCTTTAAATAACCCACAAAGGGTTGATAAACCATAAAAAAGCCAATCAATCAATCCTTGATGACAGCCTTCAGGGTATCGATATTTGACTGGGGGTATTTGTTGCTGGATGGTTCCAAAACACCCCCACATGGCATGGTTTCCTAAGTTCAGGTCCAGGCAGAAAGAGGAGTCAGAAATCAACAAAAGTAGCTTTCTGTATGCATAACTTGGAGCATTATCCTGTTCACCTCAGATCATGCCAGAATATACTTCTCTAAAGGACACTAAGACAGGTGAAAGGTAACCTCCCAGCTACTAAGTGCAGATTACCATTAATCAACTATTAATTACTTGCTTAGTATGCATCTCACTCCAGATCATCAGACTTTGCATTCAGTATCCTTTAGAGAATCCAGGTAAAAGGTTGACTTGAGCGATGACCTCCTCTCTGGTGGTGGAGATTCACAATTTACTTGACGTCAGTAGCTACCCTGAAGGTTGGATGGATGTATGATTAACCCAGCCATGCTTGAGATGCACATTTGTATGAAAGAACTGCAGGGCAGATATAAAAAACACCCACTAACTTAAAGTTATACCTAATTGTAATCTTAACTTTAATTTTAAAACAAAGTGAAAAACCATTTTCTTTACAGATAATAATCAGTCTTATTTATGCTCAAGCCCAGGGGTAAATTTCAGCCAGGCTCACACTCAAGTCCAGAAATAAACCAGCCATGTTCACACTCAAGCTCAGAGATAAACATTGACCATGATCTTGTTTTTGAGTCCAGAGGTAAATATTGGCTATTTTCAAACTCAAGCCTAGAGATAATCATCAGATGTATTTGTGCCCAAGCCCAGAGTAAATATCATCCGTGTTTATGCTCAAGCCCATAGGTATACACCAATTGTGCTCAGACCCAGAGGCAAATGCCAGCCATGCATGCACTCAAGCCCAGAGGTAGACAACCATGTTCATGTTTGCCATAGAGAAACCTCCCTGCCTCAGCATCAACATGGCTGATGCTCAACTTCAAAAGAGCATCTCTCTGCATCTTCTTGGTCTCAGATTTTCTATTGTCCTGATCTGGAACAATTACATTGAATCAATAGCTACATCTACCGCAAGGAAAGTTAGTTCTTTGTGTCATGCCAGAAGGTTTTTCTTGTCCTTCAAATCTACCATTCATCCTTGCATTGAATAATGTTGCCATATATGGTCTGGTGTCCCCGACGGAAATGTAATGTCAATCATCATCTTCTGATGCCTTGATCTTGATCCCCATCCTTCTCTTTATCCTTTCCTCAAACACCATTCTTTACTCTTAATTTCACTCTCTGAAAGCCCTTGTGCGCTAGTGGCACTCCCACCTTGCTTGGAGTTCAAGGTTTAAAAAAAAAAAAAAACACATTAGCTGTTTTTGACCATAGGCAAATGTTGGAATTGCTCATAATCAAGTTCATAGGCAAACGTCAGCTGTGTTCATGAACAAATTTCTAGGAAAACATTGTATTCATACTTGGTTCCACAAACAAGTACCTCATAGGTGGTACCTTTTAGAGGAATATTACAGCTCTGCTGAGGATGCATTTGACATATTCTAGGCCCTGTCAAAAGCTGTAAACAGTTTAGCATAGATATAGTAATTCAGAAAATAAGTTTTAAAAAAGTAAAAAAAAAAAAAAACAATAATGTGAACAAAGTAAAAAAAAGAAGATGCGAAAAAATTCAAAAAATAGAAAAAATATGAAAAAGTCCAAAAAATATAGAAAATATGAAAAAAGTCAAAAAAGTGAAAGAGCAAAAAATTGAAAAAAGTAAAAAATGTGAAAATATATATTAAAAAAAGTAGAAAACAAAAGAAAAAGTTAAAAAAAAGTAAAAAAAGAAAAAGTTAAAAAAAGGTAAAAAAAGAAGAAAAAGTTAAAAAAAGTAAAAAAAAAAAGAAAAAATTAAAAAAAGTAAAAAAAAAGAAGAAAAAAAAAAGAAGAAAAAGTTAAAAATAGTGGAAATATGAAAAAAAATATCTTACCAAAGTTTGTTTCTTCAGCATTGGTATGCCTCCATCAAAAACAAAAATGGGCTTTATTCTGTAGAAAAGCAGTTTACAAATCCTTTTAAAGAGAACAACAAGATGGGCATTTGGCACAGGGTTGCCAAAGCGATCTCTCATTCCTTTGGATGCCTGATGAAGCCATACACTGACATCTTCAATGCAGTCAAGGTTTTTACAAGATGAACATGAATGAGTTTTTTTTTTTTAATTATCTATATGCAAAAACTTTCCTCATGAAGATTTAGCTGCTACAATCCTTGACAAAAATTATGAGTTTACTACATTTAACCCTTTAGCAATCAACACACTCAAACCTGCTCTGTAATTATTGGCTCTCAAAGTCTCACTGCTTGTGGTCAAAGTTTCACTGTCTGTAAAACTTGCTGCATTATTTATGATGTTGTTATGTTATGGCTGAGTATACATGGAGTGGGTTGCAGCAGGTAAACCATTGAGAGACAATATTTATGTGGTGTATTTGAGTGGGTTGAATGCTAAAGGGTTAAATGTTATTCACTTAGCATTTTTTTTTCACTTAGCAGCAAATAAGAATAATTTTTTGATTGATTTGTTTTCTGTTGCTTATCAGCCCTTCCCAGATTATTTAAAACCAGAATATATTTTTTTAGATTGTAAGAATGTTTTTTGGGAGGAGACAACAATGATTTAGTGATACAAGTCTTACTAATTAACCCATAGATGGGGGAGCTGAGGTGGATTCATACATTTCTCAATAGTATTTGCATGTAAGTAAATATAATGAACCCAACTGGAATTGGAACTCGGATCTCCCATTAAGATTTAAACCATTCGCACATCCAAACTTACAAAATCTTGCATTCTAAAGCAGTCACCCATCTAGATACTGACCAGGCTTGACATTGCTTAACTTTGGTGATTGTACAGGAACTAGTGTTTCAACATGATATTGTAGAATAACAATACAACAAACAGCCCTTACCGGCGTGATTGTTCTACAGATATGGCTGTAAGCCTAAGTAAAAATAAATCTCAGATATAAGACAAAATATATTTTCATTCAATAGCTGAAAATTCAAAACTCCATTAAATTTGTTTAAAGCATACATTTTCTGCAATAAGCAACTTGTTTAGAACTGCCCTCAAATTTGACAAAATCTTAAGTGACTCCACTACTGATGTCAGTGAGGCTTAAGCAACTAAAAAAAAAAAGAAAAAAAAAAAGAATTTGTCTTAATTTCTGGGATGAGGAGTTATCATTATTTACATGTGAACTATTGTCCTCATCTCTGTTGTTGTTATCACAATGTTATATACTTGAAATTCCCTGTATCAATATACACCTGATGAAGGCTGAGGAACACAATGACCAAAACATTGTGATGACAACAATAGTTTGTATGTAATTAATGTAAGTAAACAAAAAGAGTTACTAAATACGCTACTCTATACCAGGGGTAGCCAAACCACAGTTCATGGGCCACATGTGGCTCTTCAACTTTTAATATGCGGCTAGTGGAAATATGTTGGTTCCTTTTTTCATCACAGTTAATATAAAAGTTAAATAAGAAAAACTTTACTGGGTATGAATAAAAGGTGTAAATTTTGTTCATGTCTTGTGGCTCTCAAACATCTAAATGTTATTGTAGGTGGCTTTTGAATTAAGCAAGTCTGGCCAAACCTGTTCTATGCTATATTCAAAAATTCTACAAGTTTAATTACATTAAAACGTTTTTCTTTTTCTATTTATGAGGCCCAAGTATAAAAAATCTAACCAATCATTTAAGCAACTACTGACATTAGTGTGACAGAAGCAACTCAAAGAAAAAAGGAAAGATAATGTAAAATTAAACAAAGATTTAATATGTTATTTTATACAGTATTCAAGAATTCTACTAGTTTATTTTTGTAATCATTTCACTCTAAGCAAGGCAATAAAGCCACTAAGATGTAAGGAGTTACATAAGAGAAAAAGAAAAACAATAAGGAGAGAGAACAATAAAAGGACAGGAATTAAAACAAGTAATAATAATTGAGGTTGCATTTAAATTTTTGAAAATCAAAGTTGATTGGAAAACAAGAGTCTGGAAGAGAGTTCCACACACAAGAAGTGCTAGAAAAGAAACTATTAGCACAGAACTTATGGTTTTATCTAGCCATTTCAACTATAAAATGATGAAACCTAGCTGCCAATCTAGTACTGCATTTAAATTAATACTCTAGGTACCATAGAGGAAAGTTCATCAGAACAATTAGCATGAAAGTATTTATAGAAAAGGCACAGGGAAAGAAAAGTATGACAGTGGGAAGGTAACTGAAGCTGAGATACCAGCTCAGTAACGTTGCAGATTCTTCTTTCAATTTTATCAACAATCTTTAAATACATAGCAGAAGCACCAGATGTGACAGCAATATTCCATGCATGGATGAATTGTAGATAAATATATTAGATAAATTCAGGCGACACAATAAACTAACTTTCCTAGCAGCAGACCTAGCAATTGATTCAATATAATCTTTAAACTTCATGTCAGCTAAAAGTGTTAGGCTGAGAAGGCATAATGAATTACTTTCCAGGAGGTTAGCATCAGCCATGCTGATGGAAATCAAGAAAGGTTCTCTAAAATTAAAACTGCAGTTTCATTTTGGAGATATTAAAATTAACAAACGATATCTTTCCCCAGTTAAAAACAGATTATAGGTAATTTTTGAGATCATCATCCAATATTGAGCATATTCAAACGATCAGACTTACCATCAAGAAAGAGCAAATAGTTGCGCCATCAGCATAGACACCGAGTTAAAAACTGATGACACTGGGAAGGTTGTAGATGAAAATTAGGAACAAAATAGGTCCGAGGACAGAGCCCTTTACCCACATTAATGCAACAAGATCTAGAAGAGTGGCCATTCAAGACAACCTTCATTTTGTGATCTGATTTAAAAGAAGAAATCAAATCAAAAATTTCTCCAGAAATAACATAATTTTTCAACTTGTGAAGACCAGTATTTCAAACCCTGTCAAATGTCTTCGAGATATCCAAAGCAACACCACTTTTATCTAAACCACATCAGCAATTGACAGAGACGCAAAAGTCATGTTGCTTGTCTGAAAGAAGATCCTGCGAGGTGAGATGCTTAACCAATTCAAAGTTCGTAAGTGTCTCTAGTCAGTCAGTTATGTGCCATACATGATACACGCTTAGGCAATCATGACGGATGAGGCATATTTTTTCCCCACAGTAGGTTTACATTTCTTTCTGCAGTAGACCAGTTGCCATCCAAGTCTATAGAATCCAGTTTGTCCTGCTACTTACCCATAGCTGGTGGGGAGAAGAGGAGGATTCATACCTATCCCAAGGGTATTAGCACATAAGTGAATGTATCGAGTTCAACTGGAATTTGTACTCGTCTCCCTGATACTTCAATCCGAGCCGCTATCCATTACTCCACTGTGCCTCCTTTAGTCTCTAACTTTGTCAAAAAGAGTTAGAAGACCAATAGGCTGATAGTTGCGTTCTTCCAAGTTCTTAAAGACTGGAGCTACAGAAGAAGATTGCTAACAAGTAGGAAAGCAAGAAACAAGCGGGTATTTATTGTACAGTTGAGAGAGACCAGGACAACTTTTCCCCCCCAAGAACTATTGATGGGATACCATCAAGGCAACATGCTTTGCAGGGATCCAGTTTAGATAACAGAAACAATGGATGGAATTATATGCATATCATACAATAGAGATGTTGTTAAGATGCCCCAGATGAGTCAAGAGTAGAAATGGAAGAGGATTTACAAGCAAAACATTCTGTTTTATCAGCAGATGATAATAGCACCTCATATTGAGTGAAGAGGGATAATTAAATCAAAATGTCCTCCACTTCTATTTATTAAACTCAGGCATAAAAACTTGATTACTGGTCAAAATTCAAAATTGCTAATAAAAGAAATTATGCATATTTCATGAAATCAGGATGTGCAACTATTAACCCAAAATTGTTTTATGCCATCTTTATGATGCGTCTATTTGCTGCCAGGTTAAAATGCTAGCTGTAAGATCTTTTAACTTGTCATTAGTATTGTGGGGCATTGTCACATTAGAGTTGTACCGTTTTCAAACACTCCATTTAAAATATTATTGGTATATCATTTAGTTCTTTATTTTCTTGTTATATATTGTCTTGGGTATTCTTTCTAGTTTTTATTGGAAAACCAAAATGATAAAAAGTTTTTATTTTGAAAAATCAAATGAAAAGGCCAGTATTAAAAAAATGAATTGGCAAGTTTCAAAAAAGGAAATATGTAAAAATAGATTTCATTTTATTTTCAAGGAACAAATAAAACATAATTTCTGCAAATATTTTGACTAAGGCCAGAATGTTCTTACTTGACAGTCGTATTTAGAAAGCTATTTGACACATCATGAAAAATTGACATACCACTTGTTAAATTTTAAGGAAAAAACATTTTTGTGAGATATTCAAACACTGCACAGTACTAATGGAGGGTTAAATGACAAAACAAAACTGGTATATTTTGTTTTATCCCTTCTCAGTTTTAAAAACAGTGCCAAACAGATCCTCTTTTCCATATCATTTTCTTATTTTTAAAGTTTTTCTGACTTGGAACAAGAGGAAAAAAACTTAGAGCTCAGGTGTTGTGTCATTTATTATGAGGCACAAACCTCCCATATAGTGACTTTCGTTTTTCAGTGAGAAATTGCGACAATGCGATTTGGGGTATTGGCTGCAAAACTTATGTGGCCCACTGCGAAGTGATGACTGTAGTCCAGCCAAACACCAAATAAAACCAGATGTACGGAAGTCTTTTCATAGGTCTTTGAATTTGAGATAATGAATCATCTCAGAATTTCCATGAATAAAGTTAGTTTTCCATTTGTCTTAATCATTGTGCAAATGTTACAAACAATTGTGAATTCTCTATCATTTGTATAAATAAATGGAAATATGTTTTTTCCAAGTAGCCACTAAAGTTAAATGTGATACATTAGAAATTTGAAACATGCTGGATATATCATTAAAAATGATCTAGTCAAACTTGTATCCTCATCTTGGTTGTTATAGGCACATTTCGGCTGTTGTATTTGCAAGCCTTCTTCAGGTGTCTTGTGACTATAATAACTGAGAAAAGCAGACTTCCAAACAGAATAATAATACCTCTGTCTAGTGACGTTCAAATTTTTATCAATGTGTTCTCTCCTCTCTTCTTATACATACCAATTTTTTGGTGTATGAAAATAAAAAATGTTTTTTTTTTTAACATCCCCAGATTTGTCTATATTTCTGAGATGAGGTATTATGATGTACATTATTTACATTATTCGGACTATTGTCCTCATCTTTGTCGCCATATTTATTACAACATTTCAACCGTTGTATGGTCAGGCCTTCTTCAGCTGGTTGGAATGTCAAACTTAACCCTTAATTTCACTCACTGGGGTAGACTGTGTCCTCAAGGACACATGGTACAGTGGATAAAGGCATTGGTTAGATCCAGTGACAGGACACAAAGAGCGTGAGTTCAATACCTGATTAAGGCAGTGGAGAACTTTCAGAGGGAAATTAACAGGAGATAACAGATAACTGACATCCATTAAACATGGCATGTGGAACTAGAACAGTCTACCCCAGTGAGCGAAATAAAGGGTTAAGTTTGGCATTCCAACCACCTGAAGAAGGCCGGAGTGTACAACGGTCAAAATGTTGTAATAAATATGGCGACAAAGATGAGGACAATAGTCTGAATAATGTAAATAATAATCCCCAGATTTTTTTTTTTTGTTTTTAAGGCCAAGGGAATTTAAAAAGTGGTTCTGTGAACTCATGTCATTTTAGTAGCTGCTGTTAGTCATACTCATACACACTCACCAAAGCTTTTCAACTGTAGCTGCTGTTGAAACCATTTTTATTAATGGCTCCCATACTGTATGTATTTCTATGCAAGGCCAACTGAGGAGATTTTCATGACCTAGCATAGACACTAATTCTTTCAAACATCTAATTCTCCAATGTTCTTCTGTTATTTTTACTTCGTTCCACAGGAGTTGATGACTATCCCTTTCCTGCCATATGATCAGCCATGCCTGATTTCATTGTCTCATCCCTAATTATGACTTTTTGATGTTCCTCCAGACTTACTTTTAGGGGACAGCTACTTTCACCTTCATATTCTTTGACACAACCATGAGGAATTAAATACACAGTTCTTGGTCATGTTTTCCTCTGTCTTAGGATTGACTGCTTTGAGATAGTGTCCTGATGTTATATGAACCACATATCTTCTGAATTGACAAGTACCCAATGAAGGCTGGAAGGAACAATGGTTAAAATGTTGTTATAACAACAAAGATAAGGACAACAGTTCACATGTAAATAATGATAAGTCCTCATTCCAGAAATTCAGGCAGAAATTAGATGAAACCTTGTTAATCATTATTTTTGACTAGCAGTAGAGCCCGGTGTTGCCCAGGGATGTAACAGTAAGAGATAGATCAAGTATCGACCATCATAAAGACTGAAAAATAAAATTGACACAGATTATTGTTTAAGGTTAAAGGACACGCATGTCTTAATTAGTTTGTTTTTTTATGAATTGGTCAAACCCAAACTCAAACAAAAACATTGCTTTCAATCGTTATGAGACTATCGATTGAATAGAATTTTATTATAAACAATTGTCTTGTAAATGGAATTTTTAAAGCATTCTGAATGTAAAAATAAAGAAAAAAGTGTGCCAGACAATAAGAAACACTACCTGCCCCAAAAAAAGGGGAACTTTTGTTGAAAAATGTAGGAAATCCGATCCCATATATAAACGAACACACACACACACAAACAACCTGGGTTTTATAAGTATAACTCGATATGAGGTGTCCCCCTTTCATTCTTGTGACAGAATCGTGTTTTCAAATTGATTTCATGCAAAAACAATTGTGTTTTTCCAATTTTTGGTGCTGTCAGAACCACCGCAAGGTAATTTTACATAGTTCTGTGAAGTTTTGTTGAAATCGGTTGAAAAATGTAGGAAATCCGATCCAATATATAAATGTACAGACACACACACACACACACAATCTGCATTTTATAATAAGTAAGATTAGTATTTCTTTCATCTTAATTTTAATGGCTTTTCTCCATGACCACCCAGACTTAATCTACAGCCATTAATAAAATGCACAAATTAGAAATTATGAATAAAAATGATAAAATCCAAAGAAGAATCTGCAATGTTATTGTTCCTGACCTGGCATCTCAGCATCAATCACTTTCCCACTGCTATAACATAGATTCCCTGTGCTTCTTCTATAAATACTTTTATGGTAATTGTTCTGATGAACTTTCCTGTATGTATAGTTGTTATTTTCATTCCCCACAGACAAATTGTATATATGGGAACTAGTTAGAATTACATAGAGACTTTGAGGTATTATGGTGGTTGTAATAAGCATGAAAAGTAAGAATGTGTTGTTTTGGTATAAAGAATACTGTGGTATGTTTGAGTTGGTAATTGTGGCTCACTAAGTTTAAGATAAGACAGATTGAAGACCAGCCTTCCTTTATCCCTCATTTTGGCCTTGTGCCACATTTTTGTATTTTTTTAAAGTAAATATTACTTTCCTGTATGGTACGAAGACTTAATGAATTTAACCGCAGTACTAGATTTGCAGTAAAGTCTCGTCATTTTACAGTTGAATTGGCTGGATGTAACTGTAAGTTCTATGCTAACAATTTCTTCTCTCACACTTTTCGTTTGTGTAACTCTCTTCTAGCTTCTTGCTTTCCAGTCAAATTTGTGTTTCGAAAATTTAAATGCAATGTAAATCTTTATCTTCTGTCTTTTTAGTTCCTGTTCTTTGGTTGTTCTCTCTTCTTAATAATGTTTATTTTTTTTTCTTATATTCTTTTCACACTCAGTTAACTCCATGCTTAGAGTAAAATGATTAAAAATATAAAAAAAAAAACAGTGTAAATTCTTTATTATCCATTTCTAAGGCCAATTTTCAAATGTAAAACAAAAATCGTACCTGATTTATAGTCTAATAAAATGTGTATATATATTTTGGAACACCCTATATATATATATATATATATATATATATATATATATATATATATATACATACACCCAAGTATATAATTGGTGTATACGGAATGAATTCCAATAACCAACAATTACTATTCTTAAAAGAGTGCTCATTACAGAATAGAGCAGATATATTCATTTAAATAATTCTAACATAAATATGTTATAAAATCACTACAAAAATAACCATTTTGTTTCAACCCCTTTGGTGTCTTATCAAGTGTTGATGTTGAAACAAAATGGTTATTTTTGTAGTGATTTTATAACATATTTATGTTGGAATTTTTAAAATAAATAATTATATATATATATATATATATATATATATATATAAAAAAAAAAAAAAAAGGATACCAATGGCAAGAACCTTGCCTTCCAAATTTTCCAGAGTAACTGGCCGGCCAGATGGCTTTAGCAGTTGCCAAAGACCATGGACACCCATGTCTAAAAATCTGAAAATATATAAAAAGTTTCAAGATTTCAATTGATTTGATAGAGAAAGAATAACTTAACGAGAGTGTATTTATTTGCTAAATATCTTTGTATAACATTCTTTTTTTATAATGATCTGTCCATTCATGATGTAGACAAGCATGACACACTACAGGTTCTGCTTTATCTGTGAATTGTCAGAACTTCTTGAGAAAGATATTGGAATGGTTCCCCATTGCTTTCTCTATGGTTTGAAATTCAAAGTTTTCTTTTTCTCAGACAGGGCTAGAGAGTTCAGTTTACCTTGTTATTTAATCCATAGCTGAGGGGAGAAGAGATGGATTCATGCCTTTCCTAAGGGCATTTGTGTAAAAGTGAATGTGACAGAGTCCAGGATTTGAACCCAGATTCCTAACTCCACTTTGTGTTCTTATAACAGTCTCAATACCTGTAAATCCTCTTTGTATGACAGCTACTCGGTAAAGTGATAGCAAGTTCAGATTCACTTCATGGTAAATAAGTTAGGTGGTTTGCTCTTGTCGGTGTTGAAAAAGTTTTGTACAGATACAATTTCTTCTACTGTTAATTTCCATTATAGATTTCATAATTTAGTGGGGTACTAAATATATATTTTAATCAATTTACTCCACGCAAGATGATAATGCCACTAAGATGTAATGGGCTACTGGGAGTGAAAGAGAATGAAAAAGGCTTTCAAATGCACTGGAAACCCAATCCTAAACAGAAAACAGGGGATAAACCTCTACTCTTGTTCAAGACTAGAGAGGAATATGAACTGGATGATAGACAAACCTATTTACTCCTATAAAAACAGCTGCTCCTAATGCTATTAATGCCTTACTCTTCAAGTATGAATTGAGTTCTCCAGGCCACTGGCGTATTTTGCATAGAAAAACATTAAAATTTCCCTTCCTCTCTGCTATGCAATGATAGCCTAGGAGTAGGATCTGTGACTGATGTCAAATCAGTCAGGTTTTGAACCTGGCTTGAAGTAATCGGATGTCTAGCCACACTGAAGAGCTGTAATACAGTGAAACAGTCTGTCTGTGGATGACAATATATATGCTCTTGGGAAATCCGGTTGAGCCCTCAAGAGAAAGTGGGTTTTAAAAACAGTGGCTCCTACTGCTATTAATGCATTACTGTTCAAGAACAAATTGAGTTCTCCAGGCCACTGGTGTATTTCACATAGAAAAATGTTCAAATTTCCCTTCCTCTCTGCTGTGCAATGATAACCTAGTGGTAGGATCTTTGACTGATGTCAAATTGGTTGGGTTTTGATCCTGGCTTGAAGCAATTGCACTAGCCACACTGAAGAGCTGTGATACAGTGAAACAGTCTGTTGATGACAATATAAGTAAAGTCAATCCTTAAAAATCCATTTTGATTATAGTTTATTTCATGAATATATTCAGATTTTGAAGAGGAGTAGAGGCTTATTCCTCATTTCCTGATTAGAATTGGATTTCCGGTTCCTGCTAAATTCTTTTCATTCTCTTTTGCTTCCAGTAACCATTTGAATCTTAGTGGCATTATCGCCTTGCTTGGGGTAGATTAAAAAGATAAATTATGGCCAGACTCATTACATTGAGCAATTAATGCATTTAGCATTTTGTAAAAGACCTCTTTCGTGTTCACATAATATTTTTATTTAAATTCCTTGAGGTTTCTCCTATGTATTGCTTGTGGTCATTATTACAGGTGATAGAGTAAATACCTCCAAGTTTTAGCATACTATTCTGTTCTGTATTAAGTCTTCCATTGTTTTAGTTGTAGTTCTAAAAAATTTTATGTTGAGTTTATATAAATTCTTTTTAATTGTTGTTGTGATGGAGCTGGCGAGTAGAACAATCTTTTGATTAGGTGGGTTTGTCAAAAGAAGGTCTGTTTTTCTATTTATATATATATATATATATATATATATATGTATATATATATATATATATCTCTTATAAAGATAAAAATTGAAAAAAGGAAAAAGAAACAAACGTTGATTCAGAAAGAGTTGGATGAGTCTAATGGTGATTACGAAGGTTTGGCAGCTCGAAAAATTGAAAATAGTAGGGGGGGGAAGAAGGAGAAGCAAGGTGTCAGCACAATGAGCAGGGGTAAGAGGGGGGAAGTACAAGTGACTACTAGTGAAATACATTGAAATTAAATTAAATTTTATGTCGTCATCTAATTTACAGCAATGTAATAAGTCGTCATCATATATATTATATATATATATATATATATATATATAAAATAGTGAAAAATTAATAATATAAAAAACTTAAATTCATTTTTTCTTTCCCTATGCCTCTCTTCAATAATGTAAATCCACAGAAACATTTTTCTAGGTCAAGTAATTTAAACATTTACTTCTTGTTTTCCTGTGATTTAATTTGAATTAATTTTTAATATATTGTATGGATAAATGGTCTGATGAGGCAGACATTAAGAACATATCTGGTGAAATAAATTTATAAATTTATTATCAAATTCTTCGATGATGTGATATGTTTTTTCCTTGTATATCATATTGCTCTGTATATAAATATGTTGAGCTCTTTTCATGGATCTATCTTTTTAATATGTCATATTAAATAGACCTGCTTGGATTATCCTTACCACTTACAGATTTGATATAACATTTTATATATATATATATATATATATATATATATACACACACACACATGTGTGTGTGTGTGTGTGTGTATGCATATATGTATACATATGTGTGTTTGTGTGTGAATATATATAGTATAAAATATAGTTTTAAGGTATAGTATAATTATGGATTAAAGTGCTCAATATAAGGCATAGAATCTATGTAAATATAAAAGTGAACATTGAAGTCGACACCCAGCGACAACAATCTGTTTCATGCTAAATGCAATCGTTGATGGCCTGACGATTGTGTCTAGCATGAAACAGACTGTCACCTCTGGCTGTTGACTTCAATGTCCACTTTTATATATATATGTGTGTGTGTGTGTGTGTGTGTGTTTATATGTAACACTTATTGATATATGTAAAATTATATAATTTAATATATGTCAAGGTTAGCAGAATTTTGTCAATAAAAGCACTCAATGACAGACCTAGTAATAATTATCAATAAATAAAAGTTTACAATACTTATCTAAACCAACTGTTACACAATATTAATGCTACTCAGGGCCAGATAAAAATTTTTATTTAAGAGGTATTAACATCACAAAAATTTTAGTTGGTTTAGATAAGTATTGTAAACTTTATATATATATATATATATATATATATATATATATATATATATATATAATATAGGATAAGGAACAAACAGGAAACCTTTATGAACTTAACAGGTTTTGCTTTTTTAAAGCTTCAGAGAATGTGGGGAAGAAAAAAATGCTGGTATTTTGATTTTGGTGTTTGTTTTTCATTAATTCCGATTGATTTGTTTTTTATAGTTTATCAACCCTTTGCAGGTTATTTAAAGCCAGAAAATATTTTTAGATTGTAAAAATTTCTTTTGGGTGATATTAATGGTTTAGTGATACAAGTTTTAATTGGTTTAGCAAACTTCACACTCATTAGACTTGTCAAGCAGCATTTGTGTGTATAATTCATGTGTGTAAGTGTTTCATAATTCTATTTTGTCTGTGTGGGATTGTAATGTGTGTGTGTATCTAGTAGGTATTCATATTTATGTTTGGTGGTTCTCTGCATGATTATTTTGGGATATTTTGTGAGAGAAGAAAAGAATATACTGGCTGTGGTAGTAGGTAGACATATCCTAAACTCTTTACGGATGGATTTTATAAAGGTTGGTGATATAATAAAGTGTGTTTGAGGTGTGGTTTTATATATATATATATATATATATACCGTACTATAACGATAGTGGAGCAGTGCATCTTATTTTACACAGGTGGGTGGGTAATAATAATAACTCAATAATAAACAAACAAACAAAATATATACACATACAAAAACATATTACTTTTTACAAAAAAAAAAAAAAAAAAATTACAAATTTAAAAAAAAAAAAAAATTGCCATTGAGCCCTCATTTTTAAGGGGTCCACCAAGCCAATTTTTGAATGCCTCTATTTTAGGATAAACTCAGTCCTGTATGTGTGTATATATATATATTGTAGTAAAACTATTTTATTTCATCTAGTGGCTGGAACATTCAAGAATTCTTATTAAAGAAAAATGCACTCTCTGGCAGGATTTAAAGGGAGGAGACACAGATAACAGATTCATTTTTAAGATCTCCACTAAGTCAATTTTTGAGTGCCTCTATTTTAGGCTAAACTCAACCATGAAGAATTTTTATTTTCTATAAGCCACTACTCTGGAACAGGAAATCGTCTTCAAACAAAACAATTCCTGATTTTGTGGAACTGGAACAATAGCCAAAATTTATTGATCCCTCTAGAAAGATAAAAATGCTCTTGAAGTTTGTCTTTGCATCACCTTTGAATAAGATCTTGGATAGTGTTGATTTCATCACTTAAAAAAACTTTTCATATAGCAAACACTGAATTGCTTCCCTTACATTGCTTAAACTGGTCTCGTGTTTTGAGCCCGCATTTCAATTTGAAAAATCATGCATTAGAAACAAAACAAAAAAATATACACACCAAAAATTATAGTTGCAAAACCAAAAGCGGTTCTACCAGGCTAGAAATATTTTAATCATTTAAACCTATATCTTATTATGAAGGAAAATTGCATTCCAAAATCGAAAACAATGACATTATTTCCGGGTTCCTATATTTGTGTGAGTTTTACTTTTAACCTTAACATCCCATATTGAATGTATATCCTTGGATTTTTCTCCAAGGATATTAAAATCTAAATTTTACTTATGGAAAAATAGTTAAATTTAATTTCAGACACTATTTTTTTGTTTAATTTCCGATGCATGCCTTTTCAAAGGCACAAGACGAGGTTTCAGAATATGAAATTCGTTCAAGAAATAAAAGGGAGATAATTCAATGTTATGCGAAAA